ACACACACACACACACACACACACACACACACACACACACACACACAGTCACTCTATTAGATTCTGTTCCTCCAGAATCTGACTAATACAGTTGTCAACACTGAAGAGAAAGAGAATGATAAACTGTGTGCTTCAAGATACCAGCAAACTGTAAGTTGGTTTTGCCAGAAAGAATGTTCAATCAAAACTCAATTTGACAATTCTTCAGTTAGGTATCACTTTACAGAAAATCCACAGGCATTCAATCAGCAAAACTCAGGTCACACCACAAGCCAAGCTGACTTTTTATAGTAAGTAATTAATTTAGGTTCTTTTCTTTTATTTACTTCTCCCCTTTTAAGGATAGTTTTACTCTGTAGCCCAGTTAGCCTCAACCTTCTGGTTCTCCTGTCTCAGTCTCTGGAGGGTTGGTATTGCAGGTATAAGCCACCATGCCTGGCTTTTAGTTTTTTATGTGATTTATCAGATAATAAACATTTCTCATCTAAAAAAATAAAATTCAAACAAAAACTCTATTTGCTAGCACCCAACTAGATTGTGGACCACTACGGCACGGTCAAAGTTCCTTCTGTCTGTGCATCCTCAATCCCTGGTAGACAGACTATCTTTCTTTTCAGAGGCAGTTAATAAATAAGACCTAAATAAATGAATTAAGATGGTTTATTAAACCATTTTAATTTCATAATATGGGGGTACCAGAATAGTGAAAAAGGTTACTTCTTAAGTCTTAGCTGGACTTGGATGGCTCTGATCTAATAGAACCCCTAGTCCTACTATTACCTGATGAAGATTCTCGCCCTAATGATGAATCTTAAATTTCTAACTGCTTTTTATTTATAAAGAGAAATACTAAACAATCAGTGCCTGCATTAGTATCACTTCTTAAGCCCAGGGTTACAGTCATCAAAGCCAACCTTATCAAACCTGGAATTACGACACCACATATAAATCCAGTGGGTTAAATGAATCCCCATTCCTGAAGGAAGGGAGAAGTACTATCTCCTCTCCACTGAAAGCGCCTACAGAAGTCTGGGGGCAGGACATCATCAAGGCCAAAGGGTTCTGCAGAAGCAGCCCCAACTCACCCAGAACCACTCTCCAGTCCTCGCCGTCCAAGTGCAGCACCCAGGTGTTGGTGGTCTTTGATCTGTTCTCCATGTACTTCTTAAGGCTTTTCCCATCGATCTCCAGAGTGTACTCATATGCAAAACCACTGACAGCATCTATATTTATGGTGGCTTTGGTTTTTGCAGCTCCAACGCAGAAGGTTTCTTTGCCCACCAATTTGAACATCCACTCTTTTCTTATTTCTTCCTAGATGATAAGGTATAAAAGTTTCATAAACACAAACAGAAAAATTAGTATTTAATTTTTTAAATAATGTAAAAATTAAGACTGTCCAAATGGCAATACTATTTATATTTTTATTATTTCATGTCAAGGTTCCACAAAGTAGTCATTCTAAGTTTAAATGTTAAATGTTATAGTCTGTGTATTCTGTAATGACCATATAAGTGAAAAACAACCACAGTCAGAAAAAAAAAAAACTTTACTTTTTAAGAAGCTACAATGACAAAACCAAGCTTCATTGTCACATTTTACAAAGTCACATGTTTTCCTACCTTCCCATCCACGTACACAACTCGTTTGCCAGATGTGGTCCCATGCTCAAATTCTATCTTGTGGACTCCATCACTTAATGCAACGTCCCACACAGCTACGAGGTCTGCCATTTTTTCCAGGCTATAAAGAGGGCTAAAGGGATAAAACAAAGCCATTAAAATGGTCCAAAATTCTTCCACCCTGATAATACCAGATTTTCAAAAGTCCTAAAATTATAAAATAATATAGTGATGTTTCCTGATATCCCACTCACAGTACATGAAACTGTCTTCTCTCTCTCTCACTGGCTCGTCCCTCAAGAGACAACTATGCACAGGTATAGTCTAATAATCCCAAAGTCACCTTAATGCTAATAAGATTAAGACTGTAACAGTTAATCCCCACCAGCACTCTGGGTTAGGCTGGTCTAGTACAGGTAAAGGTCAGTAAAAGTCTCCACTTGATGACCATCTCCACAAAAAAACGTGTTTTTCCTTTTTCAGATCAGATCAACCCCAAATAAGAATTCTTCAAACTTTTCAGAACCAGTGCCTTGGGATTTGTCTTAACATAACAAAAACAACAAAGAAGCTGTTCCAATTTGGTATTCAAAAACTGTAATGGAAGAATTTGATACTGATACAGATTATTAGTTTTGAGAAGTAACATGTTCTGCAGCAATGGGGGTCACAGTTGACGGCAGCTGCTCAGTGCTCTCTAGTCCCTAAAACACAGCAGCCTCTCCGTGAGACGGATGCTGTCAGTCCCTTACTTTGCAGAGGAAGCACAGAGCCGCTAAGGTTTTAGCTACAGTCACAAAATTAGTAGCAGGAGGAGCAGGCTGCAAATCCAGAACTCTGACTCCAACACTGCTCTCTTTGTTTCCTTCTTTGCTCGTTTTAATCTCTTACTTTGCATGCTCTAAATCATGTTCAAGTGATTGCCACGACTTCTGTGCCAAGAATCGATGGAAGACGAGGCCATATGTAAGGTGGCCACAATCACGCAGGTGATCTACTATCCTCGTGTAAGTCAGAAAGCAGACTCTGCATTCTGCAAAGACACAGACCGTGTCTCCAACAGACACAGAACTCTCCGGACCTATCCTAACATCCCGGGACTTTCAAAGGCTAGTTTTATTGCAAAACGAAACATTTACCTTTCATCATCTTCAAAGATAGGACTGTCATCTCCAGATGCCATGGTTAGCAACACAGTCTGCAATCCAATTAGCAGCCAGGAAAGAGAAAAGCAGAAATGCAGCAGAGAGAGGTTGGGAGCAACAAAGACAGCTACAAAGGGGTTTTTTAACTTTGCAATCCTTTCAGAAGTTGCCTGCATGCTCCGGTGAAGCAGCAGTTAAGTACAGCAGAGGGGCAGTCTTTTGTTTTCAGAGAGAGTTTGAACACACAAATTAGCCAATTCCACTTTTCTATCTTAAGCATTTATAATTTCTTAAAAATAGGTTTATTAAAACGGGGTAATAAACTCTAGTTTATCTGGAATATTACATCATCTTCGAGTTGCACATTAGAGGCTAAGGCCAGTCCCACTCTCAGGTGTCTCAGCCTGGAACACAGGAGCCCCGTGGGTTTACGGCAGGGCTTCAGGGAGCACATCACTGTTAAGATAAACAGCTTGGCCCAGTGAATACGGAAACCTCCAAAGCAAACACGATGGCAGCATCAATATTCAGGGTGAAATTTAAAATCCAATCTTTACAGTTTTATTTTAGAAAGCTAAAACATAATTTAAACCAGTTTCCTTCAAAGGAATTGTGAAGCTGTGTGAAGTAGCTAGGGATATGCTGGCCTGCTGTGTGGGAGCAAAGTTTATTTACTCGTTTACCACAAGCTAGTTTCCACAGTCTGAAGACTCATTCAGTTTATCAGCAGAGTCTCACCGAGAAGCAGAGACCAGGACCAGGCAACAGGGCACTGCTTCGGTGTTGGTTTCACAAGGCGGAAGTGCGTCTACACTTAGGTGCGCAGCAAACACAGCACGGAGGAGGCTGCAGCCCTAAGGAACTACTCAGAAGCGTGCAGACGCTAACAGGCACAGGAGGCGCATATGAGAAAGCTACAGCGAGCAGCCTGCTCCTGCAAAGCTATTAGGAATTTGGCTGTGTTTTGCTCCCCAGGCCTAGCCCAGTTTTAACACTCTCCTCAACGAGTGCCTTCTCCCCTTGGATGACCAAAGGCGCTCAACAGTGGGAGGCTGTCAACCCCTTTTGGAAAAAGTCAGGAGCCACAGATTGCTTTTCCAAGATGTTAGAGAAGAAAGGTTTCTATGCATGGCAATGGAATACAGTCAGGGCGCGATATAACTGCTGGAGGCAATCTCTGAAAATCAGAGAGAAGGAAGGGATGACACTCAAATTTTGCTATACAACTTTTAGAGTGTTTGCCACTCAAACCTAAAAGTGTTGATGTATTTTGTTATAAAGAACTCCAAGTACTACTAAGATGCACTTAAGGCATGGGGGCCAGAGAGATGGCTCAGGGGTTAAGAACACCTACTGCTCTTTCAGAGAACGCTAGATCTGTTCTTACCACCCAGGTCAGGCAGCTCACAACCACCTGCAACTCCAGCACCAGGAGGGTCTGCTGTCTTCTTCAAGACTCTTTGAGGGCACCTGCACTCGAGTGTATGCGGGTACCCCCCACATGCATACGGACATAATTTAAAAATAAGTTTTTTTAAAAAGAAGACTCACAAAATCACCTTGATTTTAACACCTTTTCTAATCCAAGCATAAAAGACACTGAGTCACTGGTATAATGAAGCACGCTTTTGATCCTAGTACTTGGGAGGCAGAGGCAGGCAGATTTCTGTGAGTTTGGGGCCAGCCTGGTCTACAGGTTGAGTTCTGGGACAGTCAGGGCTATGTAGAGAGATCCTATCTAAAACAAACAAATAAAGAAAAAGACACAGCGAGTCTTCCACAGTGAATTCAAACGGAATTTAAAAACCAAGATTGTTTTATCTAAAACATTCTAAGCTATCAATAGATATTCATACACGTAACAATTATTCATAGATATTTATAGATTAGTGATTTTAAGCCTGCCAGGGTGTCATACGTCTTTAATCCCAGCACTCAGGAGGCAGAGGCAGGTGGATCTCGGTGAGTCTGAGGCCAGCCTGGTTTACAAAGTGAGTTCTAGGACAGCCAAGGCTACACAGAAAAACCCTGTCTGGAAAAAACATACACACAAAAAAATGTTTTTTTTTCACTCTCTAATAATTTAGAGTGCACATTTTACGATTTATATGTGACCATTTATATAAAATGATCAGAGTAAGCAACTACCTGACAAATTATATTTGTGTATATCAAATTGGCAAAACACAAATTCACAAATCAATACAAAACTAATTTCTATGTGTTTTTTCTATAGATATGGTCAAATAAGAAAAAGGCTGCTTTAATGAAAGTCAGCAGCACTTCAGTTTTTCTATGCTATCTGCTGTTTTTAAGCAAAAGACTTAATTTCTTGTTTTTATTATTTTTAAATGTGTGTGTGTGTGCGCACACACACACCACTACGAATCCCATGGAGGTCATAAGAGGATGGCAGGGCCCCTGAACCCAGAGTTTCAGGTGGCAGTGCACCTCTGAACTCTGGTCTTCTGCCACAGCAGGGGCCCTCTTAACCGCTTGTCATGGCTCCTGAAGGCTTAAAACTCCTCTTTTAAGAGCTGAGGAATCTTTAACAGCATTTGTGGCTTCTGAAAGGCTGTGAAGCTTCAACTCCTGAGACATTTTCAAGGAGAGAGAAACCTTAAAGTGTTTTCTACAGAAGGATTAGACCTTGCCACAACCCAGTCATACAATTTCTGAAAGAAAAGTCACACCGAAACCCAATGGGCTCACCTTGTCTAGACCCTCTTCCTCACCCAGCCATACAATTTCTGAAAGAAAAGTCACACCGAAACCCAATGGGCTCACCTCGTCTAGACCCTCTTCCTCACCCAGCCATACAATTTCTGAAAGAAAAGTCACACCGAAACCCAATGGGCTTACCTCGTCTAGACCCTCTTCCTCACTGTGGGGAAATCGCAGGAAGGAGACACCCCTGTAAGGGACACCCACTGCTTTTTCTAGGTTCTTACCTTAACCTGCTCAACTTTCCCACAAGGCCAAGAGGGCCCTGGGTGTAAAGAAGCTTCTTCCACAGCATCCCATCTCGAAGTGTAATCCTCAGCAACAAATCTCATACAACGTTGAGAACATGTTCAGAATAACTCTGCAAGGGTCCTGCCTTTGGGATTTACTACAAGCTTTTGCCAGAAGTTCCACTCGTCTTGTGATCTGTGATCTTACACATTTCATCCCAAGTTCAGCACTTTAAAAGTTCGTTGGAGTTGCTCTCTTGGCCCAGCAGTTGTGGGTTTTTGTTTGTTTTTATCACTCTGGCTGTGGTCAATACAGTGTATAGGAAAACTTTCAATATCCCCTTTGTTCCATGCCTGCATTCAGATCTAAAGTCGGACCCTAAAGCTACCACTCTGTTACATGCTACATCAGTACCTGCGCAGGTCTGCTTTAGCATAAAACCTTACAGAGCAGCCAACAACCCCCAAATGACTAAGGACCTGCTAAGCACTCGGACTCCGTGGAGATGATTTTACTAGAAACTGTATTTCCAAACATCCACTCAGTTAATTATGATGACTTCACCAGGCAGTAACTAACAAAGCCCACAATGATATTTACTTGAGCATTGGTTGCAATGTAGATTTTTATACTCGTGTTTTTACAAGCTGTTACAGGTGACAGATTAAATGCCAGGTTAGATCGGTTAAACAGCAAAACAACTCACACTGCCTGTCCCACCATCTTCCACCTTGAGTTGAGTGTTAATTGGCGGGGTTTCATTGAACTACTTCATTCCATACCTGAGACAGGTTTCCAAGTCGGCCTTCGCAAGGGAGAAACTACAGAATTCTAGGAAGAGACTACAGAATCCCACTCTGGCCGCTGTAAAATAACAGGCTTCTGCATTAAGCAACACCAGTTGAGCGTATTGCAATATTAAAAAGGTTCAGAAATAAAAGTACCCCCAATGCCAACCTGCACGAAAGAACTAGCCAGAGTCAGCAAGAATGCTGCAACGGGCTGCTCCCAAGGGCTCCCGTCCACCGAGTACCTACAGCACGGTTAGCTCGGCTCCCGCAACCCCCGGGAGCAGCGTATGTTCGGTTCACATCTCCCCGGGGTATTTCGGCCAAGGCCGCACGGGACGCGTCTGCTGCTGCACCCCGACTCTGACCGCTCAGAAGTCGGAGAACCTCGGATCGCACCGCGAACGCTGCACCTGAGGGTCCGCAGCTGCGAGGCTTCCGCACTGACCAGCCCGGCCGTCCCGTACCCACGCTCTCCTGGGCCTCTTGCCCTGAGCCCAACGCGACTCGTAATCTGCCGCCCGAGGCCTGGGTACCGCGCACCTCGGAGCCAGCCCGTCCGAACCTCCAGCGCCACCTCCCGCGCTCACCTGCCCGGCGCCCGGCCACGGGCTCCTGATCCCGCTGCGCAGTCAGCCGCTAGCTCCCGCGGACGAGCCCACCCGGCTCCCGCATCCACATGCCGGGGTCCCAGCCTCCTATTGCCTTCCGGGCTCACCGAGACACCCGCCCACTGCTCGACTGAGCCTGCGCAAGTACGAGACCCCCCCCATCCATACACACCCCCGCCAGAGGCCCCGCCCACCAACCGCGCCAGAGCCAATACCCGGTGTCCGCCTCCCGAGGCCCCGCCTATCCTCCGAACTGGAGCCAATCTCGCTTCCCCTGTGCGCCCCGTTGTGTGACCTGCAGCCGCTAAGCCTTACGGGTGGTGGCGTTTTAGGATACTGTCTCTGCTTGTAGTCTCAGGGATAACCCGCACCTCCTGATTGGGCAGCTCCTCTGCAGACACCCTTTGTTTTCACAATCCAACTGGCTTTCCATTCCTTGCAATACGAGCGATCATTTTAGGTGGAAAAGTCCAGCCTCTGGAACACGTCTGTGTTCATCTCTGCGCAACCGCAGATGATGTCTTAGCCCAGATATTTCTGCTTGCCTCATCTCCCTGTTGTAGGGAAATTTCATAGCCCTTCCTTTAAGTGAGATGCTTGAATTTCTCTTCCTGACAGTCAGACCTTGGGGGAGGCGGATGAGCTCAATAATGGGACACTTAGCTATCCCTGGGTGAAGTCCTGGGTTACCTGTGTAGCCCTCCCTGGCTGTCCTGGAACCTGGAATCTTTAGACCAGGTTGGCCTTGAATTTACAGAGCTCCGCCTGCCTCTGCCTCTCAAGTGCTGGGATTAAAGGAATGCGCCACTATTGCCCTGCTACTTAGCTTATTTCTTTTATTTATATATATTTTTATATATTATATTATAATATATTATATTATAATTATATATATTTTTTATTTATATATATTTATATATATATATAAAATACATGAACACACAAACACCATATTGTCTCGATTGCAATCCAGGGCTATTGAAAATCTCAGGCAAACAATTGCAGTCTGGGGGGAAAAATCTACAAATAAATCTACAACTAAATATTATAAAGTAAAGAAAACAAATCAATTCAGAGATTTAAAAAAAAGTGACTGAGCATGGTGGCACACGCCTTTAAGTCCAGCACCTGGGAGGCAGAGGCAGGAGGATCTCTGTGAGTTCAAGGCCAGCCTGGTCTACAGAGTGAGTTCCGGAACAGCTGAAACTCTTACACAGAGAAACCCTGTCTCAAAAAACAAACAAAACAAAAAAGGTTGATAAAGATCTTGGTTTGGGAGCGTTTTGTGCTTGTTTGGTTGATATTTAAGAGACTCCCACTGTGTAATCAGTAATAGCCTCACATTTGGATTCCAGAGTCTCCTGCCTCAGTGTCCCCACTGCTTGGATACAGAGCTTAGTTGGTACCCAGGAGGCTGAGAAGGCAGATTTCAAGTTCCAGGCTATCCTGAGCTCTATAACTAAACTGCGTTTCAAAAACTAAAGTAGTGTGACTTCTGCCTTAGTGAAGCAGAAGTGTTAGGCAGGATACCCACATTAAAGAACATTAAAGAATATTATTAGTCTACCTAATATTTTGAAAATTTTGCCTGACATGGCAATACATTTTTAAAGAAAAGAACACAAATGCAAGAGAACTGGACAAAACAGATGGCAGCCACATTGCACCCTTTACATAAAAGAGTTTCTGTGAATGTATTTTTTAAATACCAAATAATGTTTTAAAATTTTTGGTGAAGTATACAAGTAGGATATTAAGAGGACAGGAAATATAAATGGTGAACTCAAAAAGAGTTTACTATTTCTGATCCCCAGCACTGAAAAAAATTTAATCTTATCACAAACTCAGCCAGTTGTAAGTCAAAAATATTTTGTAAGGTCTGAGCAGTTGCTAGCATAAGTGAAACCCTTGGTCTAATACTCAACACTACAAAGCACACATACAGACTCAATATGCATACGTGTATACACATATATTTTAATTGGACTGAATATATGCATTATTCCTGTCTTTCTAGTCCATAAATAGAATATGGCTATTTATTTATATAGCAATTATATTAGTTATTTAAAATAATCTAGCAGTGATTAAGTCCATGTATGGGACAGGACATATAGGTTCTGTGCAAATGCAGGGACATTATATATGGAATATTAGTGTTCCTGGATTTTTTAAGTGCTGGGGACTAAACAAAATGCATCCCACATGCTAGGCATATGTGCTACCACTGAGTTAAACCTTCAGCCCTCATCCTTAGATTTTGGTACCTACTGGGAATGACTGGAACTGATTCTCCATAGACAGCAAAAGGATGATGACTGTATATAAACTGAGTGACTTAAACAAGAGAAATGTATTCCCTCACAGTTTGGGATACAACAAGTCCCAAGTCAGGGTGTTGGAAAAGTTGGTTGTTTTGGCTGAGAGGGAAGCCCTTCCTGCTGGTTTTACATCTTTGACAGTCCTTAGTTTATAAAGGTATATCCTCGTCTCTGGCTTCATCTGTGAACGTGTGTGCGTGAGTGTGGGTGTGCATGCTCACATGGATGTGTGTGTGTGTGTTGCACACATATGTGAACCATTTTCTTTTTTTATAACATGTAAGTTGAATAGAATTAGAGACCATTTAGACCAGTTAGAGTCTTCATTTTAACTTTGTAAAAACACTCAGGCAACAAAGTTATATTCTGAGGTTCTGCAAATTAGCACTTCAACATATGAATTTGGAAGAGGGAGTAATTTAACCCATAACATACAGATACAGAGGGAAACTGAAAGCAGAGGCAGAGTTTGGAGCGATGCAGTCATAAGTCAAAGAACAACCAAGGACTGTTGGTGATCATCAAAATAGGCAAAACAGGGAAGAGTTCAGAAGCTTCAGAGGGAGCAGGGCTTGCCAGTGCATAATGTCAGGCCATCGGGCTCTAGAACTGTAAGAGAATGCTTTTCTCCGCTTCCTCTTCTCCTCCCCTCTTCCTCCTCCTCCTCTCCTCTCCTCCTCATCTTCTTCCTCCTCCTCCCCTCCTCTTTTTCTTTCTCTTCCTCTCCTCCTCCTCTTTTTCCTTCTTCTCCCTTCCTCCTTCTCCCCTTCTCTTCCTCTCCTCCCCTCCTCCTCTTCCTCCTTCTCCCTTTCTCCTCCTCCCCTCCTCTTCTTCCTCCTCCTCCTCCTCCTTCTTTCTTCCTTGGTTTAAGCCACCACTGAGCCTGTGGCTTTCTGTTACAGTCGCAGTAGGAAACTAGTCCAGCAGGCACCTTGAACGTAAGGGAAGCATGTTAAGCGAATGATTGCACAGCACAAGCAACTACAGGCAGAGGGCCAGCTGGAGTTGGGCTGGGAAAAGAAAGGATTCACATCATTTTTTCACCATTTTTTCCATGAACCATATAACGTCACGCTTACAGACACTAGTCCCCCTCCTACTGACTGACTAGAAATCAAAAGTGGGACAAGGTGTCCTTCTTGTTCAAACTTGTTGTGTAACTTTTTCCTGGAGTAATATGAACAAATATCTTCTCAGTCCAGGTAGTGGACCAAGCCTCGGCCAAAGAACCTAGTCTAACCATGACTAGCTTGGTGGGCAGATTCATATATTTTATGGCTTGCAAGGAGAGGGGCTTGCTGAATCTTAATGATTTTCTTCTGAGTTCTTGAACTTTTCCGGAGTCTCCTGAGCAACCTCCTATTCTGCCCCCCCTTCCCTCCATGAGGAATGTTTAAATATGGAGGAGACAACGTCACGCCAGGAAAACTGGCCAGACTTCCTGGTGTGTGCCCAAGGCTGTGCCCAGCCATGCAGAGCACAACACGCTGTGAAAACATGCCCATGGCTGCCAGGGACCTTTTATCCTTCCCATGGGGCCAAGCCGCAGCTGCTGCTGCTGCTGCTGCTGCTGTAAGAGATACTCATCTAAGCCTCCTTATTAAAAGCATTTGCTTCTCTTTGCCATTGGCTCTTCATGAGTCCCTGTATTCTGTTTATATGAGGAAGCATATAGATTTCAAAGTGTGAAGGCATCTAGATAGCTTGGTACAGTCTCCCCTGACATTCTCACTTCATTCTGCCATGCACATTGGGATTCTTTTTTTTTTTTTTTTCATTCATGCCTTTTTACTTTTTTTTTTTTTCTTTTAGTAATTTTATTAAATTATAAAAAGTTTCCATTTACGCCCCTCCTCCCAACGCCCTCCCACTCCCCCCCTCCCTCTCCTCCTCCCTCTTTGTCCCCAAGGGAAGTCAGGGTCTCCTGCCCTGTGGGAAGTCCAAGTTCCTCCCCCCTCACTCCAGGTCCAGGAAGGTGAGCATCCAAACAGACTGGATCACAAAAATCCAGTATATGCAGAGGAAACCAGTCCCAGTGTCATTGTCAATGGCTTCTCGGAAAGACTGCAGGCCAGCCACATTCAGAAAATCCAACCACATTCAGAGAATCTGGTTGGATCACATGCTCTTTCAGTCACGGTCCATCTGGCCTTGGTAAACTCTCATTAGATCCGACCCCTTGTATCAGTGGGTGATAGTATCCCTCGCAGTCCTTCGTCATTTTCTTCCTCCTTTTGCTCCTCGTTTGGAACTTGGGGGGCTCAGTTCGGTGCTCCAACGCGGGCCTCCATCTGTATCGTCATCCAACGCCAGGTGAGGGATCTATGGTGATAAGCAAAATATTCATCAGTATGGTCACGGGCCAAGGCTGGTTCAGGCACCCCCTCCTCTGTCCAGAGAACAATCTGGGGATCTCTCCTTGGACCTGGGATCCCATATATAATCAAGTTTCCTGTAAACTCTAATATGACTCCCTTAGTTGAAATATATTCTTCCCTGATCCCACATTCATCCTTCCTCCCTTCCCCCCATCCCGGTCAACCGAGCTTTCTCCATTCCTCCCCTACTCCCTTCTCTCTAACCCTCTCCCCTTCCAACAACCCTCCCACCACCCCCCCCATGCACCCAAGGTTACCTGGGACTCTTGACTATTTCCTACCTCCTGGCGGATAGGTAAATAATCTTCATCAGGTTCGTCTTCTTATTTAGCTTCTCTAGGATCACGAATAATAGGCTCAAAGACCTTTAATTATGGTTAGAATCCACTTATGAGTGAATACATACCGTGTTCCTCTTTTTGGGTCTGGCT